CTGGCCCGAGCCCCGCCGGGCGCCCGCAAGGGGGGGTGTGGCCCGGGGTGGCCCGCCCGGCCCCGCAGCTCCACTCTCCCCTCGCCTCGCCGCTCTTCCCTCCTTTCCGAACTCCCTCCTCCTGCCCCTGCGGTGTCCCCGCCTGGGCTCGCCTCCCCGCACCCCCCCTCTCAGCCCTATGCGTCGCCCCAGCTGCCAATGCGTCCTCCCCGTGGCGCCCTCGGCCCGCCTCCCGCCCGAGAGCAGCATGAGCCTCACCTGCACCCATCACCCAGCGTCCCACCGCCACCTTCTGCTCTAGCTGTCAAGCATGCGTCTTCCACAGGGCTCCAAGCCATGCCTTCCCGAGTCCGGGTGTCGCAAGAGACCCCAGATCCCTACAGGTGAGTATCTTCCTCACTAGCGCCCCTCCAACCAGGGTGGCACAGAGACACCATCTCGCTGGTGCCCTGGGAGCCTCCGAGTGAGGGCTGCATGAAGACGCGGGGTCTTCCAGGCTCCACTGGGGAAGGGTTAAGGTCTCAGGGCTACTTTCTTTTATTTGGGCCTGGGGTTCCTGAATCAGAAAGGAACTGGATGCCAGAGTCAAGGGGGAATGGAGAAAAACGGACTGCTTTCTCTGGGACAACCGGCCACCCCACCCCCACCCCAAGGCTGGGACCAAGGATGCTGAATGTTGAGTGTGGGTGGATGCTGCGGGGGCGGCAAGACATCCGCCCTCAGCCTGAACTTGTTCACTGCCCCTTCCCCAACACCCGTGGAAACCCTAGACTGGGAGGCAGCAGTTCTGCCCAGACTGCTGGAGTGCATCGCCTGAGCTGCTGAACTCTTGAAGACAAGGGTTGATTTGGAACAGAACTGGCCAAGGAAGGGAAGGAGGCTGGATGCTGCCTTTACTCTATGTGGAAGAATTTCAGTTCTTTAAAACGGCCCTCCTGAAAGGCACTCCACTTTGCCATCAGGAACTCCCAGCTGGCCACCACCTTCTCCACCCCTCCCACCCCCACCCCCACCCAGCCCCCCGCGCGTCACTGTGCTGCGCAAAGCCAGTGTTTTCTCTGGGACACGTAGCAAGTCACAGACACAGCCGTGGCTGTAACATGAACCTCATAAATCATTTACAAGACTCTCTCCAACATCAATGATTTTTTGTTTTATTTTTTTTTTTATTCAAGAATAATCCCAGCACCTGTTTCTTCAACTGTAATAAAGCGTCCATCTTGCTTCAATTTAAACACCTTTTTTCTTGACTTCTGGTTCTGGTCTCAAAAGTAACAGAAGTCATTAAAAAGAGAATGAATCTGATCTCACCAGCAGACTTGGACCCTCCCAGAGCTTCTACATCATCATAGCTCATGCTGTCTCCTCATTTCACTGCAGGTCTTTCTGGGCCCCATGACCTTCTCTCACAGTTTCTCCCAACACACTCCCTCCTCACACCTTACAGGACTAAGGGAATGCATCAGCTGAGTTCTGTACACAGAATAT